CCTGATTGGTTGTTAACGGTGGGTTATGATTGGTTGCTTTTGGACCAATCATGAGGTGCCAGATATGCAAATTTGAGGGATTCTAGTGGCCAATCAGAGCAAGGTTTCGAAGGTCAGGTTTTTGGAAGGGAACCAATCATGGTAATTGTTTGCTCTCTGAGAAACCTCGGCAGACTCGCTGGTGTGCAGCTTCCCACACTTTACCTGTTACCAACCAAGGCCAACTGCTTCAACTAGGTCCAGCTGCTATTTCTTGTGGTCAATGAAACGAGAGGCAGAGGCTGGAGAAGCAGCGAGTTTATTCTGTACCTGGTTACAGGAGACAGCACCATGAAGCTGTCCTGAAAAGTTCAACGTGTTCTCGGAATTTATTGGAATGTACTGGTACAAGTACGTGCACATCACTCTCACTGCAATCAGCCAGTCGGTTGCTTTCTCCTGAGTAATGATCCTGATTCCTCAAACGCCCTTTCCCGGTTTCTCATCTGACCATTCCTCAAACAGTTCTCCCTAAGTCTCAGCACTTGGTCAGGCTGTTTTCATTAGAGGCTGTTCTTAATTCCCAAAAGGCTACAGTCCTACTCAACCTTAAGCTGGCCGGCTTCATACTGAAAATAAAAAAGAGAACAGTTGGGGCCAGCCAACTGTTAAGGTGGTGGTTAAGGTGCCTGGATCCTGCATGGCCAATTGCATGGTTTGAGTCCTGGACCTGGTGGCTTGAAAAAACATATCAGGCATGTGTGTGCCCAAAATCCTGAGGAGAATGGAGACGGGACCGCAGCATGGCCATTCCTGGGGCAGGAAGTGCTGTCTCTCGCCCTCTCACACATGCGCCCTATAGCAAAATAAAAAACAGAACAGGGACCAGCAGATGGCGTAATGGTTACGTTGCTGGACTCCTACATAGTTAACCATGGTTCAAGTCTCATACTAGCTGCTTAAAGCACATCCTGGGTGCTTGTGAATAAGTGCCCAAAATCACGAGAGAATGGAGAAGGGATTGTCGCACGGCCATCCCCTCTAGGAGGCGATCTCTCACTTTCTGTCTCTCTGGTGAGTGCACACACCATATAGCAAAAATCTCTCTAAAAAAACCAAACAAACAGAGTAGTCATTTGGGTACTTGAGAGTTGCTGTGTGCTTTAACACCATCGTAAAGTTGAAAACAGTACGTTGAACTGTAGTGAGTCAGGCCATCTGCATTTGGGAAAAACAGGGTTACGTGCTCTGCTCAGTCCTGCCCTGCTCCCTCTTGGGATTTGCTTGCCTGCAGGAGGTATGGCCCTGCAGGGGCTCTGGAAGGACCCCAGCCGGTATGCTGTGGGGTGGGGCACAGGACAGGCTGGGCAGGGAGTCTGTGGTACACAGATGGTGCAGTTTGAGTCCTGGCCCCAGTGGCTTGAAAGAAACCACATCAGGCACATGTGTACGCATGCCCCAAATCCCAAGGATAGGATGGAGATTGCAGTGTGGCCATCTCCCAGGGGTGGGAGGGAGAGTGATTTCTTACCTCTCCTCTTTCTCTCCCCAGTGAACACACATGTCTTTTGGCAAACTAAACAACAAAACAAAACAAAAAAACCCAAATCCCTGTCAACTAAATGTGTCCAGAGAGTGACATACCCCTGAAGCAAGACAGCCAAGGTTTACTGGTGCCCATGCCAGACCAGCGCATATCCCTCAGGTTTGGTAAAGGAGAACAAGCACTGTCTAGCTCTGATTGCCTAGTGGAGGCCAATGGTTGTGTCAATCTGTTCTAAGAAGGAAAACATCTGGACAAAACTGCCTGCAATTAGGGCCTTCTTTTTTAATAATTTTTTTTATCAATTCATTTATTTTAATTTGGGGGAAGGGAGGGAGGGAG